GATGGTGTGACGCCTAGTTCAGGGCCAAATACTGTCACCAGTGCACTGTCTGAATAGCTGGGGCGTGTACTTGGGTCCGTGAAGAGTATCTCCATGGCTGTGTCTAGGGCTGCCTTTGTGGTTGCATCATGACCCTTCCATGGGTGGATTGATCAGAGGATCCATAGTGGTGTATCAGCTGACCCCACCTTGCCCACTCTGTCAGCCATCCATGCTCCACCCAGTAGTCAGTGCACAAGGCATCACTGCAGAGAACTGCTCCATGTCATGCAGGAGATGCTGTTCTCACGGGTGGACTCTGGGGTTACTGCTCTGCCCTGTGTAATGGCACTGTGACTCCTTTGTTACTGCTGTGGAAGGATGGGAAGGTTGACCCCACAGCTGTAACTTGCTCTGCAACATTGTCTTTGATTACTGTTTTAACAGGAAACATTTAATTAAATACAAGTGTTATATAATCAGGGCCGGCTTTAGGACCCGTGGGGCCCAGTTCGAATACCCGGCGGCAGTCCGGGACTTCGGTGGCACTTTGGCGATGGGGGGTCCGCTCCACGTCTTCTGCGGCACTGAAGGACCCCCCGCCGCCGAAATGCTGCCGAAGATCCCGGAGTGGACCGCCACCGGGTGAGTAAAAAAAAATTAAAAAGGCGCTTATGGCGCGAGGCCCTCTTAGGTGTGGGCGCGGGGCCCGATTCCGGAGAATCAGGGGAATCGGGCTAAAGCCGGCCCTGTATATAATGCTTTTCCTGGTACAGTGTGTTGCTTACCTGACCGAGCAGAACTCCTAAGAGGGAAGGATTATACTCTTGTGAGATGAAGCCTGAATTGCAGGAGGGTTGGAATTGCTTTGGAGTAAAAGCAAAGCCTTTCACCTCTGGTTTCAAACACAGCTGAGGTGCGCAGTAGCTGAAAGTTGTTGCCACCCAGTAGCTGTTTGGTATCCTTTGAGTGTTGTGGGCTCAGTCCATTTCCTCATGGAAAAACATCCACTTCACAAAAACTACCATCACAAGCAGCGATAATTAGCAATCCCTGCAGATAGGTGAGAACCCACTGGCCATGGAGACTATGATACACTCTTTTCCCTGGAGGTAGTTCCTTCGGGTCAGGGTTCAGGCACATTGGTATAGCAACACAAGCCAGCTTCTACAACCACCAGGGCTGTACCTATTCCAGGTCATTTAGGTGTATTACAGTAGTGCCTAGAGAGCCTCAGCTGAAATGGGGCCCCATTGTGCTAGGTGCTGTACATACATATAGGATAAAAGAGTCCCTGCCCCCAAGAGCTTATATTTTAAATAGACAAGGGAGATAAAGGAGATAAAATTACCTTCATGTTATGAATGGGGAATGGGGTCACAGAGAGATTACGTGCTTTGACCAAGGTTACACAGGGAATTTGACAGAGCTGGGAAGAGAACTGAGCTCTCTTGTGTCTCATTCCAGTATCATAGCTACCCCACTGCCTCTGCCTCTCCCTCTCCCAGACAGCTATTCTGTGGGGAAACAGAGGACTTAAATAGCTAATTCTGTCAATCCAGACTCTTCCACCACCACTACATTAACCTGAGGGAGCAGCGGGGGAGAGAACGTGCCCTTAAGATTGTTGTACCATATTACATCATAATTAGATAACACTGGAATCAGAAAAGAGTGAGGGGTGATAAATGTCACAATTAATTTTAACCATGGAAGCATGACATTTCAAGAGGATGCTCTGTCTGTCTTTGTAATTTTCCAAGGCCTTCATAGCAGTTCAGAAAGGAAACCAGAAAACTATAGTGGAAAAGGCAAACTGACTTTTAAAATTTCTAGCAATGATGTGTTTTAACTATATGATTGATGGACCCTTTTATTCTTTTCATTTATTTACATAACACTATTTAAACACTGCCACCGTGATTAACCACTTTGCACTTTTTCTCCTTGAATTAACTAATTGAATAATTAATTTGCTATTGAATTAAATACATTCAATGGTAAAAACATGATAAAAAGTGCACGTGGGCATGATGGCATCTCTCCTGTGTGCCATTTGTATAAGGGGTACAGTTTGTACATTGGGGATAGTAGTCATCCCTGAAGTGAATACAAAGAAGTATTGTGACTCACTCCCAGTGTTTCTACTAGCATTATAAACTGTGAGAGCACTTTATGAATAACAGAGTCTAGAATGAATTCAGCAATGTTTCACTCTCTAACCATCTATTATGCATACCGAGCCAAGTTCTGCCCCCAGATACACATAATTCCCATTGAAACCCACCCACTATATTTACTTTTAAAGATGAAAGCACTTCTGTTACTGTCATAGAGGACTCTCTGTAGCATGGATAAGAATGCAAATACCCTTCCCACAGAAATGGAAGAGAATGAAGAAGTGTGTAACTTGCAGGGGAAGGGACACTTGGAGACAATAGCATTAGGATTGTTGCGCTGTGATTGTAACCATCACTTTTATCAAAATGGTGATCAGAAACGCTTTCCCTGCATTTGCTATTGTATAAACCCCTCTCAACATGATGATTCTCGGTATTGTCTTCACTTTTGGAGACAATAACCTCTGGAGTTAGAATGTGATATATGGGCCGGATCCAAAGCCCTTAGAAGTCAATGTAAAGACTCTCATTAACCCCCAGGAGCTTTGGATCTAGCTCTAAATGCCATGAATGGGTGGATGGAAACTTTGAGTCAATATTTCTGTTAGCTTTTGTTCAGTTTAATAAAGGAACACAGCTGGGTATATACTTTCTTTTTTTTTTTGACAGAACAAGCTAAATTCTGCCCTCAGATACATGACCCTCCTTAGTGAAGTCCATTGATTTTTGCAGTGTGTTAATGTGTTATCTCCAGCGGTAAGAATTTGCCCCATGCTCTCACGTTTCTGGAAAGAACTTTGATCACAAAATGTTTTTAATTCCATAGCATGACGAGAATTAAAGGCAGATGACTGCCTCAAGTACACGAGGGCACCAACTTGTACTTTCTCTTCCTCTGTTCCACCAATAACATTTTCCAGGCTGCTGGTTGACTTGAGATGACTGCATCATGGCTTCCTGGCACTCATTGTATGAGCCGAAATCTCTTAAACAAGAAACCTAATTGATATGACTTACAACAGAGAATAAAGGAAGAGGAGGAAGCAGTGGTGGTGCTATCCCATTGGGGGCCCTAAGCAGGAATATTTTTGTGGGCCTCCCCACACATACAATACTAAAACAGGCAAATTCTTATGAAAATAATAATAATAACAAGTAAATCGAGGGCCCCCTTGAGATGTTTGCAGCCCCAAGCAATTGTTTAGTCTGCTTAGGCCTAGCACTGGCTCTGGGAGAAAGCACAGGGCAAGGACTAGTTAATATAAAACACTATCATATTTTTGTGGCTGACTGAGATGCATAAGTCCTTCTGTCCACCCCAATGCACCTTGTGATTTTGCTAAGCTTCCCATTTTCACTACAGCAAAGAGAAAATATTATAGGGTTTTTACTCAGTCCAGTGTTCCCCAAAGAAGTATGCTATCTAGTACCTAATATACACAATGCTATATTTCTGCAGGTGAGTATATATGTTAGTCACTTTTATATGTGGGTTAAATTGAGTGACTGATATTATTATTGTAACTGAACACTAATATTCTTATTTCAACAGGATTTTTCATTAAAAGAAAAATTTGTCAGTAGCTCAGAAAGTCAATATATGATTAGAGTGGCGGAAATTATTTGCTGTGTATAAATTATCAGACAATTTAGCCTTTTGTTCTGTTTGCAAATCAGCTACAAACTGATCCGGATTCCGGTGAATACATTTGTTTATCCTAACTATCTACAGAATAGTTTTGACAAGCCATTTTCAGCCTATCTGTTGTTCGCAAACTGCTTTCTTAGACTGTTCGCTCTTTGGGATTGGCCAACTATGGCTTTGTCTTCACTGATAAAAAAAAAAGTGTGTTCTTTGCATCAAGTTTTTACATCATAGTGAAGATAAGGCACAAGTAATCTTTAGCCATGACGTAGCTGATTAGCTAGTCAAGGTCAGCCCGACGCCCTTCCCACCTGGGGTTTAGCTCGACTAGCTATATCGAGGTAAAAACTCCTGTGCTTTGTCTCCACTAGGATTGTCCATTGAGATAGCTAACTCTCGATATAAAACCACACTTTTTTGTACAGTGAAGACAAAGCCTAAGTCCCATGGTACTTTTTCTGCTCCCTGATGGAATGAATGAAACATTTTAAACAGGAGATTAGCAAATGAGGAAAAGTGTTATATTATTTGTGTTCATGCATAAATACCTTTATTCACAAAGACTTGTATGAAGAGCAGCTATTCCCCAAACATTTATGTGAACAAAAGAAATGTGTGTGAACGTTTGCAAATCATGAATAAGAAGGGATCTAAATGCGGTAAAGGCAAACGTAGGTTCAGAATCCAAATGAATATTCATGAATATTGTTTCTGCCATGTCTAGCGGTATATTATAAGCTCTTTGGGGGCAGGGAGCATCTTTTTGTTTTAGCACAGTGGGGTCCTGGTCCATAACTGGAGCTTCTAGGTGCTACTGCAATACTACTACTAATTAATAATAGTAGCTGTAGCTAAAGAGTCATCATCACATTCTCCTCCTCCATCACCAGGAGATGTCATTGTTTCCATGAGGAATGAGTCATTTGCCATTACTTATGTCCAAATGTTTTTGAACTCACTGAACCCAAAACTGATTCATGAAAGATCTTCCATCAAGAACTCAGTGGCAGAAACCAGCGTAATCCATTGAGGTCAATCTGAATCTGGCCCGTACAGTTTAATAATCTTTTTTAAAGCAACTCAGTCATGTGCAAAGTGAACTTTGATTTACTTGTAAACCCCTTGCCTGGCAGTGGTTTGGGGTTCCCTGACAATGTAGTTGAGAAATGTGTATGTGCTATGCTAGGGTTGTAAACAATGAGCCGGGGAAACCATCCCCGGATCACTGCTGATCTATCTTACTAATGTAATTACAGGACAGAGAAAGAGAGGAAAAATGGCAGATGATAGGAAGGATGAAGCCAAGGCACCGCACTGGACTTCAAGTCAACTAACAGAGGCTTCTTCACACCCGCATTCCCCTGAAATTAAGGAGCAAGCTGGTGCAGGTGCCGGACTGGTCAGAAGTGCCAATGGATTTCCATACAGAGAGGATGAGGAAGCAGGATATGGTGAACGCGGGCAACAGGGCACATACTCTAGAACCAAAGAGAATGGGATCAATGGAGAGCTATCCACAGGAGACAGAGAAACAGCAGGTGACAAAACCAGACTCCGGCCCACCCTCCCTTTCTCCTATAATCTCTTGCTTTGAGGTCACTTTGGTCTGAAGGGGAACACATTGCGTTTTCCCACGTGTGCAGTGCGAGCTCTCAGAGGGCAAAGCCCTGGTGTTTGCTTTTTATAAGTACTTCCTTTGCTATCCTTTTAATTGCTCCACTGCAAAAAAGAGACTTGTAACATAAAACTTTGGGCTTTGATGGGGTAGCCCAAACCCTTCATGACAGGGACCATGTTTTTTTCATCTGTGTAGGTACCGTGCTCACCATAGCAGGACCCTGATCCTAATTCAGGACAGCTGGCAATACGCTAATATAAACATTAAATAATTTATGACATTGGGCCTGGTTTCTGACTGGTGAAAGTCAGGTGTAAACCCCAAGGAGCTCCATGGATATTCTGGTGTAGGGGAGATGAGAGTCAGGCCTATTGTGATATCATGAAGCAAAAAAACCAATCAGTTGCTGTGTGATAATGCTCCCCTTTTCCTAGGGGAAATCCTGAAGTCTTTTCTCAGGGCCAGATTCTGCCACCATTCCATTGAGTAGTATCTTACTGAAATCAGTGAGATTACTCATGGAGAAAGGGACTACTCACATTAGTAAGGGTGCCATATTCTGGCCCTCTTGTGTTTTTTCTGACTTTATACAGGCATATCTCCCCTTGCAATCATCGGGAGTGTCATTGGTGTGTAAATTGGATAAGGACTTTAGGATTCAGCCTGATGAAAAAAAATCTGATTGTATCAAAATTAATGAAATATGCAAGATGGGCATCTTATTTTAGAAGCAAACAGCAATCTTTCCTTTGCAAAACTCACAATTTAAGCCCTAAATGCACAATGCAAGGGAGTTTCTCTCTTTTACAGGCACTGCTGCCCTCAATGCATCCATCCATGCATGCTAAGAAGATCATTTTAGTACCATTTACTGGCTGTTGACAGCACTTTATGCCACCCATAATTTCTCAGCAATTGGACAGTTTTTAATCTCCAGATCCTAATGTAGTTTCATAAGAGATTGTGCTGGAAATGATAGGTCTGTTAAAAATATATAGATTTAAATGTTGAAAGATTATCCTTGTGGTTAGCAACAACTCAAAAGCCCAGCGATAAAGTAAACCTGATGTGCAAG